GGTCGGTCGGTCGGTCGGTCGGTCGGTCGGTGGGTGGGTTGGTCGGTTTGGTCGGTTGGTCGGTTGGTCGGTTGGTCGGTCGGTCGGTCGGTCGGTCGGTTGGTCGGTTGGTCGGTTGGTCGTGGGTTGGGTCCCTCCTTCGTTCTGTTGTTCGGTCGATCGGTTGGTTTAAAGTTCGTCTATTCTTTGTGACAGTCACCAACCAAAGTCCTTTCTCACAGGGAATCACTTTCGCCCACCAATTTAGATATTCGCTTTTACGCTCGGGCACAATCCCGTTTTTAATGAGGATCTCGAAAGCTGAGGTGCTCTAACTTTGAGCTCTGTGATTACAGAGGTTAAGTCAACAATGCTTTTAGGTTAGAAACTCCAACACAGACCAGCTTTGATTCTATACAAATCATTCTTAAAACATGATTTTTTACTTATTTCTTTATCTAGACAAAGGTCAGGCCGTAAAAAACGATAGCATTTATTTCATAATTTAATTATTTAGAATACTAGTCATGGACGAACTGTCGGGTAGTGACATAACATTTTGCGTTTTTCCACACTGTTGTGGACTGAAGCTGTTTCTAGTTCTAGTTATTTTGCGATAAACGACAATTTCGGCCAACATGAGAAGAAAACATCCACAACAAATCATAGCGGTGTTGAAAAAAAATCCGCCAAACTCGCCAAGTCCCATTGGACGGGCAACCATGGTTTGCTGCGAAACTTTGCATCGAGACGTCGTCCATTTCTCAAATATATGCGGTATTGTGTCATGCGCGTTGAGTTTGTGAATCGCGCGGGAAATTTGACGAGTCCACGATGAGTTCTTTTGCAGTGCGAAGGCTAAGCCAGATAGTTCAAAAGGCACACCGTCCTCTTTGATCTCACAGTTTGGATCGTCGTCAGCGCCTGTTTCGGATATGAAAGCTGTCAGCTCTCTGAAAGAGGAAAAAGTTATGTCTTCTTTGGCTGAGTTTAAAGAAAGATTCTCAACAGTTTTTGCAACTGTGTCGAACAAATTAACTCTGAGTCTCCCGTGAAGATTCAAAATATTACCAGGTTTGCAGTCAAATGCTCTACCAACTGGGCTATAGAGAAGTCTTTCGCAAATAAGTCACATACATCAAAAGATGATTTTGATTCCATTAAGAAGGGGCTAGTTAAAAATACTGCTAACACAACCGGCGTTTGAGTTGCTTTAGTCCAACCCCTTCTCTCACTCCCTCCCCAGTTTGAAAGACCTTTGTAGTGATAGAAAAATTCAAAGGCACAGCTTAAACCGCAATTCAGAATGATACTAATGCTAAACCTCCTAAATGTGGCCTTCGCACCAGGGACACGGATAGGAATTACCACCCAGTAATTCAGTACCATCTATGAGGCCAAAAATTTTGTTTAGACCTCTCACCCTGATCGAAGTTTTTTCAATCCATCCGAGAAGGTTTCCACGTTGTGGTCTTTCATGTTTTCGTGGATCTTCCTCAGCCGGGCACTCTGACTCTTTCTAAAGAAGTCCTCTGTACTTGTGTCTTTTATTGTTGCAAATATGAACCCTTTCGGAGGATCCACCAACTGTGTAAAGTGAAATGGCAAATGTGAAAGATACAAACTTTATTTTGGCAAGTCTAGGGGTACCTGAAAACAGAACGTCGTTTCCTCTTCCTGTTACTTTAGGCGGACTAAAAGTGCTTTTTAAGAGCCATGGATAGAGAAGTGTTACGAGTCCTCTACCCCATCCACCTTATAAAGGAAACCTCGAGATCACGTAGTTACTAACATAACTCACGCTGGCTTCTAAATTGAAAAACCGACCCCTTCGGAAGCTACTGTGTACATAAAACGTAAATTAAAAATTAACCTCGACATTACATGTGTGTGTATGTGTGTTAGGGGGAGGGGAGAGGGGGAGGGGGTGAACACAATTTTTTGGTAGGCCGTTCCTGCGTCGACAACCAAGTGGCATTTGTTGGCAAGTCATTCGATATATCATCACTTTTTCTCGAACACGGGGATCACATGCACAATGCCCTTAGTACCTCCCATCTCCCCTCTCAAAGTTACCTCCTATAAACGCACCTTGTCGTCCGCAATCCCTGACACGATATTTGTTTCTTCCACAGTGACAAGAGAAGCCAACAAGTTTGCAGTGTACGAGCTGACGAGAACGAGGGCCGCAAAGTTAGCTACCACCATCACACTCGGAACTGCGTACGTCTTGGCCTGGATTTTGGTGAGTGGTACATGAAATATATTTCCATAAACATACGCCATGTATTCGAAAGGTAAAAGATATGCACTCTTATGATTCCTATAGTAATACACTTTCTCAAAGACCCAACTCGTGACTGCAACCGCACAAAATGCAATCAAACACATAAGCCACAGTTCCGTCCTGAAGGATTTCATTAATCTCATGTCACTTATGATCTGTGCAAAAGTTTTGTTATTGGCTTCAAACCGCCTCACTAAGAACATTAGCGCCGTGTCGCTGTACGGGGTCGTGAAGCTGACGTACTTCGAACGTTCTTCGGTAATTGTAATACCACCGAGAGCAAAATCGGCGGTCCCTCGGTACACGTCCCCGATCATCCCGTTCATCGGTTTTGTTGTCGAATCCACTGAGCCATATTTTCCATCTTTGACTAAGTAAAGGTCAAATGAAAAGTCTTCGATTTCTTGAATCTTGATTAAAATGTCAATCATAACACCATAACAGCACTGTAATCTTGAGGAACCTTCATTGCGTTTCCAGAACCCTTCATTATCCGGAAACAAAGTGTCATTATCCTTAAGAAATTCCCTACATGGAACAGTGTTTTCCGGACAGCTAGTGCCCATTCTACTGCTGTAATCTACGTCATGGATCGCCGTAAAAGGTGCATGTTTGACGGTAACTATTCTTAAGTGGCGCGGTCTTGGAAGGTCCGTTGGTAGAAATGCCTCAAAATTATGGGGGCTATTGTACAGGGTCATTTCTGGACAGGCATATCCTAATACGTGCCAATATTGATCCGCCTCGTCGTGTTTTAAATCGTGTAATCGCAGCGCCTTTATTAAGGCGAATTTGAAGGAAGTACGTTTTCCATTGTTACTAAATTGAACAAATCCCGTCTGGCCAGTAAAACTGCGATGCACCATCTCCCTGTTAATTATTTCAAAGTGCGTTATTCCGGGCATAAAATATTGTTTGGTTGAGTGCCGACAGAAATCCTGAAATTCAGTTCCCTTGTTCCAACGCGAGTTGTGTTTGCTTTAAAAACACGTACCACCTAACCCACCAATCGAAAACGACCGATACTTGATCTTCCGTGTTTTCCCGCGCTTCGCACATTTGTATATTTACTTCGAGCTCTGATTGGTTCGTTGTGATATTACCTTGATTCTTATTGGCTGTTTTGATCAATTTAGACTTGTATTCGCTGCGCTCAGTCGAAAAGTGGGACACAGAGGTGGTAATAGTTTTTACTGTTGTCAAATTTGGTTTTCAATCCCAGCGGGGTTCTATTTTTTTAATCATGAGTATTACTATTCGTTCCCGAGAACGCGTACTTGTTGAGAAAAGCGCTATAACAGGGCAAAAAGCAAACTCTCATTCATATGGTTAATATGTACCAAGCCTTCTATCCTGAGTTTTTTTTTTCTTAAAACAATTATCAGGTAGGGTCTATTAGCACAGTGAATTCATTACACATGTAGATCGTTACCTGTAGAGTTGTCTTTTGAAAGCGGTAAAAAGCCCTCCCTGTAAACAGTCCAGTTTATTGCAATGTGTTAACCAATCCAGTGAGCTCTTCAATCCCAAGACGAACAACTCTACTGAGTCCTGCAACAGACCTTTATATAGCGAGACCATACTTGCATTTCCAGTTCCTTGAAACATTTGCACGCCAAACGAACCCTCAGGAAAAGCATTAGCGTCGATAGTAACAGCTTTGTGCGTGAAGATCCAGTAAACGTCACGTCTTAAAAGTTTTAAGCTTAGTTTATTGGCGAGAGATATTATAGCGGTACTCTCATTACTCTGACAGTGAACAACAACTAAACGCACACCGCTGTTACTGATGGCTGCCAGAGCTGTGCCTAGGTCTTCCAATAAGCTGTTTTCTCGGAGGATAATGCATCTAGGAGAGGTAGCCTGGTGACCAATATTCGCTGTGTACTGCAGGAGATAAGAAAGCAGCGCGTCGTCACGTGATTTCTTTGTAGTGATGCAAACAAATCGACTCTCCTCAAATTCTAGCATCAGGTCCACGATGACGCCGGCTTGGAGAGCATCTGATGGAAGTATTGATAGGTACAACGAGCTTTCCTGGTGAGTTACGAAACGTTTAGAAGATTTTATTTGGTTTATTACTGATAAATCAGAAGGGTGGTTGTCATATTTATGAGGAGATGAAATGAGAGTTTTTGCAGTGCTTAAGATGTTCTTAGAATAAAATAGCCTCTGCTATTGGGTGCGGGAGACAAATCGGAGCAATTATTTGTCAATCAATAATTACATCTCCCTCCTACTAGGGCTCAATATTGCATCACCCCCTGCCCCCCTCCCTCCACACACAATGAGATTGTAGTGTCTGTTTAGAGGTAAAAGCTTAAACAAAACACAAAGACCTTAAACGGTCTTTATACTTTGTTTTAAATTTAATTTCTTCGTTGGTGTGTTTTTAGGAAAAGGAGTTTACCCGATTAGAATAAGTTCATCATTTAATCTTTCACATTTGCGCGCGCTCATTCTACATGAATGCAGAGGCCTACAAATGTCCCCCTCTTTGGATTTAGCACTGAATCTATTTGTGAAAAATACATAGACACTGACTGATTCCTAGAGCAGAAAGAGAAATAATTAACGCTGAAAAACATATTTGTAATAAACGATTTCCTCCAGTCTAGAAATTTTAATCATCTGAATAAAAACCAAAACTGAATATATAACTCGAACGCGATTGGGTATCACCAGTCTGCTTTGAGCACTAATCATAGAAAATTCTTTTGCCCATATCTTGTCGCGGTCAAAACAATTCTCGACTCGTTCAATTGTTTTTCCCTGTGATTCAAGTTGGTAGTCATAATTCTTAAACTTCCAGCAGGGTTTGATTCGTTTTAAACTGCAATCATTGTAATCTACACATCTATACTAAGGATGTTGCGTTTGAAATGAGTGGAGGGAGCCCGCCCCGTTTGATTTCAAAATTGAAGTTCATCTTCAGTTGGGTATCTTTCAATTCCCCATGAACTAAGATTTTTTCATTTTCTTGCTTGTGAACAACTGGTGAACTTGAAAACAAGCTTTCTCTCACCAAAATCGCAAAATCACGCCAACATTTTCAAAACTTTGCATGATGTCGGATAATCCTTGTGTAGCGTCTGTATTTTGCCATGTATCTATAGTCAAATCATTTGCAGCAATCCAATTACAGTGGGAGTAATATTTGGGTTATTGTATGATGAACTATGCGGTTAGATGGTAAAAAATTACTTGTCTAATCTTTTTATGTAGGATCCATATCGACTGCCTTACGAAAATCTACGGTTAAAAGGTGCAAAGGTTTTGAAATTCGAAATAAATTCAAGAAAGAGTCGCTTGCCGATTCAGCAGACATTTTAAAAGCAAAAGTGATTTTCTCAGCTGTGATAATTTTCCCCGGAAAGTACTCTGAAAAAAGGCTTTTGTCGTTGTAGGAAAAGATTTTGTTATGGCTGAACGAAAGAAATTTCCCGCTGATCGTCGTTGACAAAGTTAGTATGTGGTGAACCGAATCTTAAAAAAATATTACTTAAGCCCTTTTCATCTTGAAAATGACAACAACTTATAGCACAATTAAATATTTACAACTCCCAAGTCGAAAAGGTGTTTGTGAACCCTGAGGCAAGTAGCTTCAAATTGTATTACTCTGGTGTAAAAGCTGATTTCGTATCTTATCGCTTTTCAGGAGATATCCTTCCATTCCGAATTTGATATAGATTTATATCAGCAAATATTTCCCTGTCTAAACGCGATAACAAGGGGGTCTGCAAAGTTTTACCTTTTAAGTACGGTTTTTTGAATAATTGAACGGGAAAAAACTTGCGAAACACTTGGATAAAAACACCGAAAATGGTTCACTAAAGAAATGGCATTTATATGAGTCAAACATGTCACCACCGCGTGCTTCTAATGAATTTAGAGAAAATGGTGTTTCATTGCTTACAAACAGTATATTGATGCCTCTGCTTAAGCACTTTGTACTTGGAGGATGTAGGATAATTTACCGTGTTTACGGTGCAGCATGATGAAAAATTGCCGCCAAGTACCATAACATATCATTGGCAGTTTCTTTTGTCAAATTCAGCTTTAAATTAACGGCCCGGATGTAATATTTTAAAGCAGTTTTACTCCTTTATTTAAGGCCTCGTCGTTGATGTGTTCAAATGTCATTTATTGTTGGCTGTTTGCATTACTTAGCGGTTTCGTGAGACGCATCCGTTTTGGTATTGTATTGTTTATTTTTACTCTTTTTTCATCCAACTTAAATGCAAATTTCAGAAATTCTCTCAGGTTTGCCACATAAACTTACTTGCTATTTCGCTGTGGGAGACTAAAAACATCAATTCATTTGATTTCAGGCCAGTTTGTGAATGCAGTACGAGGAAATCTCTAGAAAATCGCTGCGAAGCATGTCAAATCGGAAATCCCCTTCGAATTGCTCCTTAAAAAGTGCGCGCACACCGCTCTAATTAAAGTCGCATGGTTAAAGCAAGTCGGAAGGAATAAATTTTAATCTTGATCAAATTAGAATTTAAGCTTTAACTATAATTTGAAAGTGTTTGTCATAATGAGGAGTTTTGAAAAGTCGTGCAAGTGATAGAGGAAGAAGTCAATGGCATATCGTAACTAAAGCGACTCTTACAGAGATATTGACACTTTCTCCTTTGAATAGAGCCTTTGGTGTAACAAATCGTCAATGCATTAATAACGACTTCGTCCCTATGCTCTGCCAAATATTGATACGGGGAATTATTGTCATTTAGGTGCCTTTAATTTGCAAGAGAATATGAAAAACAAAACATGTTTTGTGCACTTGAACTGTTTACCCCCTTACCTGATAGGATTTGTAGAATTCTTCTGTTAAACTTTGAAGCCCAATAATTGGAATAGCACTCTTACTCAATACGTCCACAAGTACATAATTTTTCTTCGGCGGTAGAAAGCTTATGACCATACTCGCATTTTGTTCGATGATGTGTTCTTGTATTTTTCGCCACAAGAAATGCGGCGTTTCTTTTTGATTCCATGCTAATGCAGTCCCTTGCAAACTCAAGAGAGACGAAACATCCGTGTATCGCTTTAGGATGTGCTCAAAAGTTGAATTCAGATCATGTCGTTGAATTTCCTCGGAGATAAAGACGAACTTCACAACTGGTTGAACTGCATGAGTCGTAATCGTATTAATACTGCCACACAGACATTGAAGAAGCGAAATCGACACTATGTAAGTCTTGCAGAAATTCTGAAACATCATCAATAAAATGGTGCTAAATCATCAGATGACAGGTACAAAGGCAAAATATTAACTTGGAGGCTCAAGGATTCGCCATAACACATCCTTAACCCCATTACCAACTGATACATACGAAGCGTAAATCTTTTTTTTCCAGATAGCAGATCTTGACGAAGGCTTTACTCCAGGTTTTCAATCGTAAGAGTAGATGGAAAAATCGCGTAACAAATGTATCTTTACAATAGATTCATGTGCACATAACGTAATATTTGTCTTCCGAACAGGTGAACTGTTTCTATATTAAATTCATGGACTTTTCTGTTCGTTCGATTTTAACTACAATTAAAAGGCTTGGAAGCGCCGTCCTCAGTGCTATCACTTCTCATAATATCTTCACAGCGATTGGCGTTGCTGGCGAGAAATGCTATACGTTGATGTGGCGATCGCAATGCTATCCTCAAAGAATGCGAACCCAATTATCTTTTTCAACACTTCTCATTTTTTACAGTCGTCCTGCCACTTGGTATGAAGTTGCCCGTTCGGGCCATGTTGTGTATTTGGCACAATTACCTGACAAAACCGCATACAGTGCAAAGGTGTATATAAAGACTAACAAATAACATATGCTGGCAAAAATGAACCGGAAATTATCCGAGTAATAGCATCCCCTTCGGTTTCGTGAAACTCTACGCTTGAAGACAATCGCTGCAGTTCTTAATTTATGCGCATACCACTTTTCAAAACTGTGAAACACCAAGTACTTTACTATATTTTGGGAAAAATTAATTTAAATTCCAATGTGAGCCCGTTTAAAAGCGCAGCATGACTAGCCACCTAATTGTAAACATGTCAAAAAGTAGTGCGCATTTGCAGCGAGGCATAATCTATTTGATTTCTTGAAGTTCCTTGTTTGGATTATTTACAGAACAGCACTTATTTTTCACTAAATTTCATTTCCGCCTGCTCGAAAACTTGATTTACGTTTGAGTAGTCTCCGCCTCAGTTTTGTTTTACACATCCACGCTATATAAATTATTCAAAGTCAGTAAAGAAATTAAATCGTCACTTGTTAACGTTAACAGGAAACAATTCTGCAATGAATATTCCGGATCATTTCTGACTTGTTTCCGATTTTTATCGGAATCCAATTACAAACAAGCGCGGTCACTGCAGAAAAGTGAGATTATCTCGTTCCCAGTGAGACGCTTTACTGCCTAGCAACATCTGAGCTTTAACCGCTTACTCTTCATCAAAAACCGTACGCGTGTCACCATTTGGATTCTTGAACATCCCCTTATGAGTTCATATTCCTTATGTTAGGACCCTTCTGGCTATGTTATCTTAAGAGTTCCTTTAACCCTTAAAATTCCGAGATCTGATTAATAATTCTCCCCTCTAGCTGCTACACATTTCCTTGTAAATTGGTTACGAGAATTTGGTGTTCAATCAAGGTAACAACTTCTACCTGCTAAGTTTGAGCATTCTCACTACCTGTTTGCTGAATAATGTATGAGAATTAAGAGAGAAGTTACATGTTCTGGGAGTTAAAAGGATTCATTTTCAAGTGATCGGTTCTCATTAATTTTTTTTCTCTATTATAATAGTTCCCCGTATGCCAACGACAGCCCGCTGTGCCGACAATTGTCCCTAGAAGAACCGCGCATGGGTGTAGAATTAGATACCGCCAAAAATATAGAAGAAAAGGAAAGAGAGACGGGAAAGAGATGAAAGAAAGAGGCTTTACATAAAGTAAAGTAAAAGGACAAACAGTCGGATTGAGATATTTTTTATAGAGGTTCTCCAGTTTGTGTAATGTATCTTGGCCAAGATATTTGTTTCCTCGACATTTCTACAATTTCTGCTGGTTTTGGTGAGAAATTATTTTAACCACAGCACAAGAAGTAAAAGAGATAAAGCTTTCTGATATTGGAATCTACAACATTTAATTTCATCAAAAGTTATTGAACAAGAGTGGCTGTTAGTTTCGAAACGCGTAGCTCGTGTACATTTTTGTTATGTTTGTTCCGGTATATTATTTCTTCGTAGGTTAATGATTATTACTTAATAAGTTTTTTATTTCAATCAGTTTCATTTAAGCGCATGCACTAGATATTATATTTGGCATAGGGTAAAATATGGACTGGACTGGACTATTTTTTTGACGATTTTTTGAAACATTTTATAAGGGGGAGGCACACCATTAGTACTCAGGGAGGGGTGGATGCATTCGAAAATTACTGAGGGAGGGGTGGGGGAAAAGTGTTATTACTCAGGGAGGGGTGGTAGGTGGTTGTAATTGAAAACACTACCGGTTAATGGAGCTTTTACTCGATCGTAATAATTATTTTAATCGGTTTTTTTTGACTGACTTCTCCTACATCAACATTTTGCGCTGGGCCGCGGCGTTTCTTTAATTTTTTAGCCATGCGAAAGCGAAACTGCCACGTAAACACTGGACTTTAATTCTTATTGAAAATATCGCGTTTACGATCCTCCGCTTTTAAGTTACCAGTCTGGTATAGGTTATGCGTGTACCTTTTGAGTCGACTTGTGCACCATCAGTTTTCCTTTGTGTAATTACCAGATTTATCTATCTTTCTAATGTCATTGACGTTATCAGACGAGATCACAGAATTTCCGTTCCTTGGCCCTTGACTTTGGCCGCAAATATAGAATTCACAAGCGCTATCGCAATTTTAACGTTTGTACGTTTACTATATGAAATCATTTTTGGTACAATCGTACAAAGCAATATTCTCTCAGGTGTCTCGTTAACACAGACCTCGAAAACGCAGACCGCAGACCGCACACCTCGAAAACGCACACC